TACTGATAGTGGTGGAGGCTCATAGGAGGCTGTTTAGAAGAGGATGCGTGTGGCAAAGAGTAAACTGGACTGAGAGCCGTTCACTTAACATGTTAGACAGTCAGTCAGTTTCAACACCATTTTATGAACACGTCCATGGTGCAGGCACTGTGTCAGGGCCTGGGGATGTACACCCAGACAAGGAAGAGTCCTTACTTTTAAGTGTTTCACAGTCTGGTGGGTCAGACAAGCAAAAGGACCATCCTACTAGGGACAGGGCAGAGAATGCATAAAGGCTCTCTATGTGTGATGTCTGGACTGAGTCTGGCTGAATCCTAGGAATTGACCAGGAGGAAGGGGATGGGATAGAAAAAGGGTTGGAATGTTGGGGCTAAAACTCTAGCTAGCAGCTCAGTTAGAAATACTATGTGGAAAAATTAATTTTCTAGGGCAGATACAGATTTCCTGTACGGTTTTAGTTTTTATTCTTAAAAGGAAACAATCTAGGAAATTGTTTTTTTGTAATTTTTTTTCTGGAACAAATGACCCCTACCTTAATCTTGATAGCCTGAGATTATTTCTTAAAATGACTGCAAGCTATTGTTGGCACACTTATATCGATGTTGGGTGATAGTCTGAGAGAAAATGCTAGAAGCTGATCTGGCTGAGGACTGAGAATGATGGCACCCAGTATCATGACCCTCAGAGGACCCAGACATATACTTGCTGTTGGTCAGCAGCCACCGTACAACTTAAGAGCAAAGAGTAGAGTCAGTGTCAGCTAGCTTAGGTTGTGTCCATATTCTGTTGCGTAGTTTTGAAAATAGCTTAAAGGTGAAAGTACAAAGTTGGTTTCCCAGGGTAAGAGGTAGGTAACATTGTAGAATTTGTTTCATGAGCGTAAGGTAAGAGCAGTTATCCCTGTCCTATTACTATATTTCCTATCCCTACACCTGGATGGACTGCAGAAGAGAATAAAGAAGACACTCATATTACTTAACAGTCTTCCTGTTTGTATCTTTCCTAGTATTTTTATAGAGTGAATGCTAATTTAAGACTAGGAAAGTACTGTTGTGATCACCTACAGGTCAGAATAAATGAATCTATCACCATAGTCCCTTGTGCTCTTCCCTCCCCTGTTTTGCTCCTTTTCCCTCCTCCTCCCCTACAGAATGTCTCTGATTTATAGTTGCCTGTTAATTTTGTTTTATTTATTTATTATTATTTTTTCCTGATCCCTTATTATTGGTGGTGGGAATTTTACAGGGAATACACCTGAGAGGAGAAAGCAAATATTGTTCAAAAATAAACAATGATGTAAAATATATATAAATAAATTTAAAAAAGAATAAATGATCCTGCAGAAGGTCACTTAAATTTAGCTGCTCCTGAGTATTAAGCTCTGAGCTGTAGAGTTACTGAATCCCTGGCTCCGAACAAGAGGGTTCTGAGCTGCATTACTTTGTGTTTTATATGTGAGAATTGATGAGTGTGTGAGCACCTATCACTGTTACTCTTAATCTTCTTAGATCCGTGTGTAATTTTGTGCTCCCACAGGCATTTATTGCTTATAGAGGTTTTAAAATAAAAACCCTGGAAGCATTACGTTACTGAGTGACTGAGGAATGTAGGAGTGGGGGGAATGGAGATGTGGCCGACTGTGTCGTTAATCAGACCAAGCCATTGCAGCTCTCTTGCAGGGCAGGACATACCCTAATTGAATTTGTTATTGAATTTCCTAGGAAAGGGGTACTTTGTGAAGTTTTTGTTTTGTAGCCCCATGAACATGGGGTCTCCTGAGGTAGTTCTGTCTTTTGAGTCCACAGTGGAGTTGCCCCAGACCTGATAGGGTTAGTAGAAGTACCTGACTCAGGATTTCATTGTCTGTCATTGAAACCATTCTTACACTTCATGCTGGCGTGGAGGTGTTATACCAGCTGTGGGAACCCACTGTAGTTCTCCAGTGGTGTTTTCTACCACATACTTTTGTATTTCGTTGTCTTGGTGTCTGTGTCATTTCTGTTCATCCTGAGTTTCGCTACCTCCAGATTATTTAACATAAATCTTAGCATATTGCTTCATTTCCAATTATTTCAGTATGTATTGCTAACAGGTTAAGACTTCAAAAAAAAAAATCATCATGATACCACTATCACACCTAAAGTAGTAGTAATAATTCCTTAAGTCAAAGTTAACATTTCCCTATTAGCTTATAATTTCTTTCTTTCTTTTTTTTTTTTTAAAGATTTTATTCATTTATACAAGAACTGCGGTACAGGCCAGAGGCATGGGAGGGTGAGAGTATTCACCAGAGACAGAGTGGGGAGCAGATCAGGCAGACGGACTGAAAACACTGCTGAGGGAAGCAGCAGGCGAGACAGGAGAGGTCTGCCACACCATGTGGGTATCTCCCTGGCCAACCGAGAATCGAACTGGCACTGTAGAGGCTGTGGACAGCTTCACAGTGCTGCGCTCAACCCTCTGTGCGACCGGGGAGTCCCTATAGCTTTTAATTTCTAGAATGCCTTTTCTGTTTAAATTGAGATATACTTGATTGGTATGTCTTCAAAGTTTTTTGGTCTGTTGGTTTCCCTTTCATCTTTATAGTCTTTGGAATTTTTTGTTGTTGCTGAATAAACTGGTTTGTTTATATGTCATCTGTCTAAGAGGATGGATTTTTCTGATTATCTTCTGCTCTTTTATACATTCCCCCTCAGACATTTTGGGTGGAAAGGGATAAGACTACTGCAGCAGTGCTCTTGGTCCTTCAGTTCCAAATTAGGTTCCAGCTTAGCTTTTCTCTGCTAGTGGCTAGAGTAAGTGACGGATGGTTATTCCCTAGAGCCATTAATTCACCAGGGGCTGCAAAATGATGATATACTTATTATATCATTCATTAATCGAAATATCTGAAAATGAGAACTTCACTTGACAATTGTTTAGTTACCCTGTGGTACAGATTATTTAGGAAATGCAGGGTAGATGCTTGATTCTTTCCCTTTATATACTAGTTTTCAAAAATGATAATTTCCTTTGATCTTCCAAAAGAGATTTTTTAAATTTTTTATTATGAGTTCATAAAAGTGTGCTTTTTTTTTTTTTTCTGTTTCAGTCTATAGACATCACTCTCCTTTTTGCTGCTCAACTTTGGCCAGAGGGAACTTACCAGTCTGGGTCCTGAATCCTTTTGTCATGACTGACCATTTTATCAATTATTATCTCTTATTGTTTACCAAATTATCCTCAAACTTAGGGACTTAAAATATTATTCCAGAATTTTGTGGGTCTGGATTCTGAGCGGGGCTTACCTGGTTACTTTTGATGTTGTAGTTCTGGTGTTTTCCATTTTGGCGGAGGGAGGTGTACTTCCAAGCTCACCCATATGGCTATGGTGGACCCCAGTTCCTGACTGCCTGGTTCTCTGCATAGGGTTCCCCACAATGTGGCAGCTGGCTTTCGCCATTGCCAGTATGCTGAGATAGAGAGACATAGCAGAGCCACTATGTCATAAGTCAGAATATTTTTGTAACCTAAATTTGGAAATAAGAGTTCATTACTTTGGGCTCCTTTTGTTCTAGTCATAGAAGTGGGCCGCTAATCCCAGTCTACTCTCCAGTGGAGAGAGTCATACAAGGGCATGTACCTGGAGGTGGGAGCATCTGGAACCCTTCTAGAGGTTGCCTTCTATACCCTAGTAATCTTTGATAGTACTCTTGCTTTCTGGGGTGAAGAGATGGTTCAGACAGTTAGATTGAGATTTTCTCCAGTTAGCCCTGACTTACTTTAGTGGACAGTGGTATTTAGAGAATATAAAATGGGTGTTAAGATTCTAGACATTTGCAGAGGACAATGTAGGGAGTATATTTGTTTTTTTTCAATTTCAGATTAAATTTATGCTGCTATTTGTGGGTCAGATCTAGGACTACAGAGTTTTTACTTAACCTCATTCTTGTGTTTGTATCTTCTGTTAAATAGCATCTTGACTCTTAATGGCAGAGATACAATTATTCATGTATCATCCCCACAATACACAAATAGAAATTTCGGAGTAATGACACATTAGCACAAAAATATGGTTACTGAAAATGCTTGAATGTGTAAAGTTCTTTTCTCCTTAGGCTATATCCCACATAATACAGTCAGTTCCTCCATACAGTCATAATTGAAATCATTTCTCACTGTGTAGTATATAAACCACCAAACACATCTTTCCCTTGCGACTCAGAAAGCCAAACTCTGGGCTGTGAAAATACCTTTACACACAGGAATGTATTCTAGGTGGTCACCAAGAGAATTGTCAGAATTGGCACCCTAAAAACTGGCTCCCTAGGTGGTGGGAGTGCAGGTCTATATAAAGGTGGAAGGAAAGTGGTGGGGGGGGGTGCAGGATGTAAAGGAAGTGGGGCTAACTTTGAATTCCAGATGTGAGGAGGTTCCAGGGCAATCTAGGTGTCCTGAGTCTAGGTGTCTGACTTTTCTGGGCAGGGAATTTCTCCTCCAGGTCATCATCCAGCAACCATCAGCAGGTGTTCTTGATGCTTTACAGTCAACCTCAAAGGAGCATTGTGAATTTTTGTTAGGGTTATAACAAGTCAACTTTCCAAGTTTCTGTGAATGTACTTGGAGAGAAATACATTTATTGCAAGTCCAAGATATACCACAAGGAGGGGGAAGGGGAAGCGACAACAGAGGGTGGTAGAGTGTGATTCCACTTAGTCCTAATTTTTGGTCTAGGGGAATTTTTGCTACAAAATGGAGGGCATTTGGCTACAAGTACACATTCATCTGTGTAAAATTATTTTTGTGTTTTAGGTAATTTTAAAAATAGTTTTATTTTTATGTGAATTATTTCTATCATTCTAAAGGTGAGCTACAGATCAAGGTATTTTTATAGGAATCTAACTTCTGTCCCTGTTCTCTCCATCTTCTTATTTCTCTAGAGGTAGCCTTTGGAAAAATGCATGTTATTCTTTTAATCTTTAAATATAGTAGCATTATGTCCACTTTTCTCCACTTAACAGTAGACCCTGGCTACCACTCCACAGCAGTGCAGAGGTCTGGTTCATCCCTCTTCCGGCAGCCCAGCACTCCATGTGCAGGTGTGTGATCCGGCATTCTAGACCACTGTACTTCCTAGGAGTTCTTGTGATTTCCTGTCCCGCTGTGTTTCTAGGAAGTGCAGTTCTGAATGGATCTAAAAAACAGGTGGGAGGAAGGGACAGTGCCTTGGTTGGCTTCAGCACCTGGTTGTGCCCTTCCAGTTTTCTTCCTAGTTCTCCACCTGTGGGGAGGAATAAAGTGTCTTTCTTTTTGTAATGAGGTGGCTGAGGTTTCTTATCTCAGGAGTAGCCCTTTAAGGTTCCAGTTATTTCATTTACACTCTTTTTGGCTTACAGTTAGAAATTTTTCCAGGTTTTAACAACACATTTGTTAGACTTGGATCTTGGTATCTGATTAGTGTGTCTTCATGGTTATATTAAGGATTTGGGAAGAGTGGTAATCAGATATTGTGCTCAGGTGACAAACCCCCCATATATAAAAAGTAAATGAAACAATAAATAAGTACCCTTTTCTCTCCTAACCAATACTGAATTATTTGTATTGCAGGGAAAAGGACTTGGAAGCCAAATTCATTATTCAAATGGAGAAAAGCAAAACAACAATCACCAACTTAAAGGCAAGTAGCAACCTGGCCTTGCTCCACTTCTATGAGCGTCCATGTTTATTTCACTGTCAAAATGATTATGGGTAAATAAACATATCTGCCATTTCTCCACTTCTCCTTTTTCAGTTCAGTTAGACATGTCCCCTTGCATTAGGCATGGGTTCAGTTACAAAGCAAAAGGGTTGGACCTTGTTTCCTCTCTGTCTTTGGTTTTATGTGATCCAAAGTCGGATCTAAGATTTATCTGCAGGCCTGAGCTCATTGGTTTAGTTCTGACCCACGTGATTCCATTTTCTGCATTGGTTTTTGGCTAGACAATCTACTACATTCTATAAATCATTAAATAAATTTTGCCCTCTATTTATTTTCATTTTTAATGAAAATAATCATGATTTGTAAAAATTTCAAGAGGCCTTGTTGTCATTCAAAATTCAGAGGAGAAAAGACAAAAAACCCTGATATTTTTTCTTGGAAAAAAAAAATCCAAATTTTTTTAAGATACCAATTCCTGTTTGTACTTAATATATCCTATTTGTTTCTTTCATCAGTGAATTTGTTAAGGACACTGCATGCTTTTTTCTCATAGACGGAAGCAAGGGTATACAATTAATAATAATGAAATCAATGTGCTGTATTGGCTCAACCCCATTTTTCTTTAGTATTTGTCACTAACTTAAAGTTTTGGGTTTCTGAGGTCTGCTGCTCCATGGCCAAGTGCAGATCAGTCTCTGGTTGGATTTCTGTTAATTTGTGACTCAAGGGACTGTGCCTTTTGAAATCCAATTTCAACATAGTGCAACTTGATCTCTAGTGATAAAAGCTAGGGAATGCTCTTATCTTCCAAATGGGTCATGCTCTGCATAATTTGATAGGCCTCCTTTGCAACTCCTGTGCTCCTGTCCCTCAGGCATTCTCTAGTGGAATGCCTGTCTTTCTCCACTGACCACATTTTACACCTAGCTGTCTGGCCTGTACTTGGCTTCCCCTCTTCTGACCTCCCCTATCTTCTCATGTTTCTGCCAGTTATCACTTCTCCATTCTCTACTGTTTCCCTGATCCCCTACCCCCTCTTCCCCATTTCATGTATTTTTGTATGTTCACAGTACTTTGATAAAAGTACAATCACTAGAAAATTGCATTTACTGAGAGAGAAGAGACCTCTGACAGTGGATGAATCTCCTTTTGTGTGCTATGGAATCTGTTTCCCTTGATCACACTGTTGCTTTTGGAGTTCTATGAGTGTTTCCTCATCTGATGTAATTAGAACAGATGCCCAGACTTTGAATATTTTTTTTTTAAAGATTTATTTATTTATGTAAGCACTGGGTACAGTCAGAAGCGCGGGAGGGTGAGAGAATTCACCAGAGCCAGAGCGGGAAACAGAAAAGGCAGACCTATGAAGTACACTGCTGAGGGGAGCAGTGGGTGCAGCAGGAGAGGTCTGTTGCGCCATGTGGGACCCTCGCCTGCGCCCGGGGTTCAAACTGGCACTGCAGAGGCTGTGGACAGCTTCGCAACCCAGCGCTCAACCGGTAAGCCACCAGGGAGGCCCCAGACTTTGAACATTTTAATAAGAAACTTAAACATATTTCTATATAGTATCTGAAAATATGATGATGAAAAATATGCTCCTTGAGTTTATTCAACATGTATTCAAGGAACTGTGTGAGTTTTAGTGGTGTATGAAGATTTTTCAAAATGGCTTTTAGTTCAGTTTAGGTATATAAAAACATAGATATATGTAAACATCACTAACTCACAGTTTTGGGTTTCTGAGGCCTGTAAACTCATAATATGAGTAAACTCATAATATGATATCTCTGAGCAGAGTCTAGACTCTCAGAACTGTGAGAAATTTCTGAATGGAGTGCCCAAGGGTGCTTCATGGAAGGGGAACCATCTAATCTGCAGTTTTCATTGGGGCCACAACATCATTCAACTCTAGGGGGCCTCACAAGCTCTAATGCTCCCTAGCCTTGTACAGTTTGCAACTCTGGTGGTTTTGGGAGGAGGGAGCAGTGAAAAACATTGTAACTTGAAAAAAAATAAAAACATCTGGGAAAAAAATAGCATCTGGAGGAGGGAGCAGTGAAAAACATTGTAACTTGAAAAAAAAAAATAGCATCATTCAAAGTAATACTGATTAAAAAGTCCAGAAAAATAGCCTTGGTAATATCATATTGTGCAGCCTGGGTTGCTGGGAGAAGTTAAGATTTTATTTATTTTTGGAGAGGATTAGGAGAAATTAAATGCTTTTCAGTTGTGGCAAAAATATGAAAAATGCCAACTGATCATTGTATATTTTTTATGAATTTTTTTTAACTTAGATTGCTTGTCAACCAACACTGCTTTTGCATCCTTACTACTATTCTCTTACTATTATAATATCATCATAATCATCTCTCTAGATACCAGAAGGAGGTACTGGGGACTCCGGAAGAGAACGAACCAAGACCTTCACCTACGATTTTTCTTTTTATTCTGCTGATGCAAAAAGTCCAGATTATGTTTCACAAGAAATGGTATGATATTTTAAAAATAATTATTTTGGTTTATTTTCATATCAGGAAAAATATGCATGCTGTAAAACTCTTTAAAACATCTTGCTAATTTTTTTTGATTGTAATTGATATAAAATTAGCCTTTGTTAACTTGTGTTTTTGTTTGTTACATACCTCTGCTTATCTTCAGCTTGAGAAGCATGCAATCCCTAAAAGGTTGATTGCTTTTTCACTTCTGAGCTTAATGATAATAACTTTTGTTTCAAAACTTGGACATGATTATCATTTTGAAGGAGCTCTGCAAATAAAACATTTTTGGGGATTCATTATATGCTACTAATCCCAACAAATAAGCCACTTGGTCTTGAGTCCTGGTGCAGTGCAGAGCTTTAGGAGGTAGACTTCAAATTAAAGTCAGCTTTCTCCTACTTGAGTCAGCATCCGGGAAAAATGAAATAGAAAGGGACAACAACAGAAATGGAGCCATAAGAAGACATGAGGGGCCTAGAAGAGGGGCCAGGAGAGGAAAGATGAACAAATGTTGTTTGTTTGAGTTTGCATCAGTGTCAGAAGCTCCACTTGGTGCTCATGTACGATATCTCATTCAGTCCTCACAGGAACCAGATGAGGTTAATTTTAGCTCCATTTCTCTTAGTCAGAGAGACTCAGTGAGCTTAATTAATTTGCTCAAGCCCATAAAATGTAATAGACTTAATAGTAGCACAGAGAGATTGGGGTGTAAAGATACTACTGAAAGGCTTCAAAGGTATTTGAGCAAAGCAGTGGTTTTCCAAATGACAGGTGGATAGGGTAGCCCTGTTGATTGGATAAATGAAAAAGGGAGTGCGTGAAGATGATTTTGGAGTGGACGAAACTGGAATAATCAATGTTTGTAATCAGAGTCTGGTGAGGAATGAATAATTATTGGAATTTAGATTTCAGTTGTAATATAGATTTCCTAAATATTTTTAGCTCCTCTAAACACTTCAACTGCAATTTAAGACAATGGACATTTTAGGCTTAGGGAGAAAATAACTTCCTGGGGTAGCTTCCCTAAAAGCACAGTTTCATCACTTCCACTCAGCACGGTCCTAGAGGTTCTAACCAGTGCATAGGGATGGCCAATTTGCAATCTGCAGAATATCTTCAACAGAGGGTGATTGAAGAACCATGAAGTTCTCTACTAGTGAGCAGCTGTATTTCTCCTCTCTTTAACCTGAATTGGAGGCCATTTAGGGACAGAAGAGTAGAATGGTGTGTGACAGCAGGACCTGGCACACTGGAGATGCTCTGAGCATTTGTTGACTGAGAAAGCTCCTTTACAGATGGTGGTTAATCTGTTGGGAACAGATGCCATTTCCTGGGTTTTATTATTCAAGATTAGGAAAGGAATGACAAGTTTAGCTCTTTAGGAAATTAAAAATAAATGCTCAAAATTTAAAATTAGTATCAGATTGCAAAAAGCTTTGAACGGGTAAGGATAATTTTCATTCTTCAGGTGTCAGGCAGTGTCACTTCTTCAATGTTTTGTGTTCTCTGACTCTATATAGAAAATACAGACTTGTTCCATTAAATTACAAAACCAAAAAAAAAACCCTTGGGATGGGTTAGTAAATATTGCACTCTAGTAGTACTTCATGCTAATAGAACCAACACTGGCACAGAAAAATACTTATTTTTAAATCACTATTATAGAGAAGGTCATATTCCCTCATCCCTAATTTTAATACCCATTGTTACTAAAGAGAGCTTCCATTTCTAATATTGATTAGTATCTATTGTCCTGCCAATTCTGGTACAGTAATTGAGCTGACAGGCTGTATCCCTGCCGTAAAGAACGGAAGATGCAAACTTAGTAAGATGTTTGTCATTGTTCTCTCTTTCTCCAATCCTCTGAATGTAAAGGCATATTGAGAAAATTATTGAACTTGAACTTGTGTTACTATAGTACAGTTCAAGTCAGGTTTCTCTTAATGTTAAACAAATATCAAGTAAAATGACCATTACTATTTTTTCCATCTGCATTTTATAATTAGAAAAAAATCAGCGAGCAGTTTAAGTCCATACTTATGCAAATTAAAGACCATTAAATAAGGTCTCATTTTCTTAATGGTTCTTTAAAACGCCAAAGGGAGACTTTGATCGCACACAGCCTGTTCCTTAATTCAACACTGGAGAAACTTGAAGTATAAAATCTCCCCGTGGACATGCTAGAGGGAGAGTCTTTTAACAGTGCCCTCCTGTGGGCAGTTGCCTTCAAGTGTCTGCCTTGGATTTCTCTGGAAATCAGCTGTAAAGTCTGTGTTCAGACAGGCAGCAAGGTGACTTTGGGGAAGCAGACCTGGTCAGGCTGTCAATGAGCTTTTGATCCCTGTGTGGGAAGCAGCTCATCGTTCCTAACTTGGCTTGGCCAAGGTGGTAAAGTGTAAGTAATTCCTTTGTGGGACTTGCAAGGGGTAAGTCTGTTTTCCTTGTCAAGGACCGTGGAGATAGATGCGGGTAGTGTCCTGCTGCTGCCCCAGGTCATGTGCCAGCATTGAATGGTAGAATGAGCTACACTTCATGAGCTTCTGCATCTTCAGACTTGCATTTTCTAGATTCCTTATGCACATCCACCAGCCCCTGTGTGCTGTCCCCAACCCTCTCTGAGAGCTCCAACTGTGTCACCTTTTTGGAAAATAAATAAATGAAATGCTGGATTCGAACCCAGGGAAGAATTTCACTTTGAAAATGTTGGGGTTTGGCTTAAATACATTTTCCATGACTTTGTTTTAGCCCGAGACAAAACAATGAGAGAAGATCCTCCTTTGTTCTCTGAGAAATGTTAATGGAAGGCACTTCTTATCCAGTGGCAAAAATCATGCATGCCTTTTAGTGCCTACAAGAAATGTTTAGTTTTTCCGCATTTTCTGTACTCATTGATGAAAACAAACCTGAGGTGGGTGGTCTGGAGCCTGAGCCTCCCTGGAATTTCTGGTGTCTGCTTTTTCACTGAAGTTTGTCTTATAGTTGTCTTATAAGACCCTTTCCAGGGTCTTATAGTTGATGTTGAGGGTGTCAGTAGCAGGGAGGCCTTTTGAACACAAGCTTTCTAGAGCCCAGCTGTACCACTCACTGTGTGTGCCACTGACTTAACCTCACCCTTACATTTTGATGAAAACTAATACATGATGCATACAAGGGATGTAGATAGTACCCAGTCAGTGTACCCAGTTAATGTGTGCTGCCATTATAGTTGAGAATGGGGTAAGTCATCAGAATTTGAGAATAGGATTATGAAATAACTTTTTTAAAATATATTTTTATTTTATTTTATGTATTTTTTTCATCATTTTCCATTTTTGCACAGTGTATGCATTTTCATCTTGATTTTATTCCTGATACAATTCCTACCCCCCTTATTTTGACCCTCCTTCCTCCTCCCTTCCTCTTCCCCCCCAACTCAAATAGGTAAGGATTAACTCAGAATGAATGAGGCAGGTCACTTGTGGGAGTGACTCCATTGATATGACATCTTGTAAATTTTGACTGACAAGACTTGAAACAAAGACCAGACAAGATGGTAGGGAGACTGCTTGAAGTAAGCTGACGCCCAGTTGGCTGTATTTTGGTCTCGTCCTTAGATGATTGGCTCTTTATTTGCAGGGATGGCTTATGTGGAGATGAGGTCAAAATAAGCAGTCGTTATCAGCCCTGTCTTGGGGCTGGGTGTTTTGACCAGAGTGTCCGGCTCCCTGCGGGGGTGATATGGCTCTCAAGTTCAGCAAATTCTGACATCATTCCTGAGGGGTTGATGAGGCTCTCACTTTGGACGATGGCAACCCCCACAAAGCAATTCCTCACTTTTTCACTGCCCTGAGAACTTGATTGAGCTCCTTCTCATTGAATCTAACTGTTGTTATGTCTCGTTTTTGAAATGGGAGTTTTAGTTGCCCCTAGAGTGCCAGTCCATGAGGGCAGGAGGCAACACAAGGGCTTGTGGGAGTTGGAAAGCTTTGGTTCCTCTTCCCAGCTGGGTGTAATTAGATGATCACACATTTTGATTTGCTTCATTTATATCAACTGTATGGGTAAGTTATTTGTCCTTTACCCTCTTTTATTTTTTAAAGTTTCTCGTTGCGATTGTGTAACGCAGCAGACATGGACTTAGGCTATTATAGGTGCAACCTTACACTCCACAGTTTGTTTCTCCACTCTCTCCATCCTAGAGAGATATCCAAGTGGAAAAAAGTGAACTCTGATTTAGGGGAACCCAGACATCTCAGCTTCATCTACACCTGTCTAACCCTCAGCTCTGTGAGAATGTCTAGAGATTGATTTTAATGAATAGAATAGTTGGGTTATTAAAGTGGTAGCATTGAATTCACATGGTTTGGATGACAACTTCTGGTTGCTGTGACCTTCAAGTTTTGATTATCTGGAAAGCGCTGGAAGCTCTGATAGAATGAATAACTTTATAAATTTATTTAGTTCTTGAATGGTAAGTCATCATACACTAAAATCACCTTTGCTTCTAAATATGATTGTCGCTTTACATTGTTTACATTTTTGTATTCAAGTGATTTTGTTAAGTAGGAAAAAGGATGGGGTTGCTCTTTCCTTGCTTAAGTTTTCATTAAGAACTGGGATACATGCATATTCTGTTAACAGTTCTGCAGTGATTTATTTATATGGTTTAATCCTTTTGAGGTGGAAGGAGCATTCACGTATATAATAAACACCAAAAGGACTTTCGTTAAAATATATGGTAATCGTATCTTTTATGGTTTTTGACTTTTAGGTTTTCAAAACCCTCGGCACAGATGTTGTGAAGTCTGCATTTGAAGGTTATAATGCTTGTGTCTTTGCATATGGGCAAACTGGATCGGGAAAGTCATACACTATGATGGGAAATTCTGTACGTTATTTACACTGTGTGGGAAGAAAATTTCTCATTATCTCTCTTTGGACTGATAGAAATTATCTCTTTTATCAACTTGGTCTGTACTTACTTGCTTTTCATGTTCTGATCATTCTTTAGCAATAAGATAAAACTCAGTAATAAGTTGAACTAAATTTCCTTTGAGAGATTTTAAATTAGAAATAGTTTTAAATTTATAAGCATGAATAATGGATGTAAGTCTCAGTTCTTTTCTGTTTTTAAAGGTTTTATAATCTTATCAAAAAGTATGCTGGGTCCACAAGTAATTTATTCTTCTTTTCTGCCAACACAACAGTTTGAATAAAATTACTGAACCTCTATTCCTTTTAAAATAATTCAAAACGTTTTCACCTAAGAAAATTGTAAAAAAAAAATATATATCCGCAACTCTTTAGTGGTAGAAAGGTATTATATAAATCCAGAAAATACATAAAAGGAGTTAGAATTATGTAGTTTTTATAGTCATATAGTTACAAACATAGTAGTTAATGTTTAATGTTCATTAGTTATGCTTTATTTACAGACATTGAAGTTATACTTGCCTCCAAATGTGAAGGAATAAAAACTAGGCATTATTGCAGGAACTTTATCTTATTCTGTGTTTTTTTGAGATCTTGATAATGCATGTGTTTTTACCTTTCTTATCCTGCTTTGAAAACTGTTCACAGGTGATCAGATCCGTGGCATGTTCTAGATGTAGAGATGTTAGTAGGGGATCCCAGGGCTTCCTTGCTGGGAGGCAGAGTGGTGTCATTATAACTAAAGTAGTTTGGGGGAGTAGTAGTGTATTAAAGGAGATCGGTCATTCCAGATCAAAGTATTTCAGTGCGTATATCCTAGCCTCTTAAATCCAGGATTTTCATTTATGTGAGAGGTCTGTTAAATGCTCTGTGATTCCTCAGCATTGAAAAGTAGAGAAAACAAATTTCCTTTTATCTTCTTTATTTCTTCTTTTTATATTCTTCTTTTTATATTCTTTAGTTCTTCTTTTTTTTTTTTTTTTAAAGATTTATTTTTATTTATTTATACAAGCACTGGGTACAGTCAGAAGCACGGGAGAGTGAGAGAATTCACCAGAGCCAGAGCAGGGAGCAGAGCAGGCAGAAGGACCGAAGTACACTGCTGAGGGGAGCAGCGGGCGGCAGGAGAGGTCTGCGCGCCATGTGGGACCCTCCTCCGGTGGCCGGGGAGCAGCCGGGGATTGAACCGGCGCCGCAGAAGCTGCGGGCAGCTTCACAACCCAGCGCTCAACCGCTGCACCACCGGGGAGGCCCTTTAGTTCTTCTTTATTTCCTTTTATCTTCTAATCTTCCTACTTTCCTACTGTGCCTTTGAAAAAAAATCTTCTCTAAAAATGAAATTTGCATGTGATTCCCCGGTACCTATTTCATGTAATAAATTAAACATTTCCAAAGCATTCATAGATAAAAACTGTTTTTCTCTTACCTCATAGTTGAGTTCTGTTGGGCTCTTCTTTTTCATTTTGTTTTTTTAAAGTAAGAACAAAAAATATGGTGAAGTGCCCAAGATTTCCTTGATAAGAACTGGCACTGATTTAATAATCTAATAATTTAAGGGGGAGAATTCTTTGAAAGCTGGAGTGATGTTTCTTTTAGTTTTTGTGTGGAAACTTTTGGTGAAGCTAAGGAGGGACTTCAGAAGGAAACATGAAAGCTCTGAAGTTTTGATTTCCTAACAAGACCACTTTGCTTCACCTTTAGGCAGAGGGTTAGATTTATTAATGCTGACTGAAACAGGACTATTACTGGGTATACCCACATTGCATATGCTATATTAAAATCTTCCTGTCTAGGAAGATCAGTGCCTCAAAGAAGGGATATTCTATGTGTTTTAATGTGGTCTGTCATCTAAGTTTTAAGGCAGTTATAACTACTTTTAGGACTTACTAAGGTTTCTTTGGTAATTCTTTTCTGCCTAGTGTATATTTCACTTTCCTTGGTTATTTGATTAGATCAGATTCTTATGCTGTAGACTGTTGTATTTGAAAGTTAGGGAATAAGTCACCTCTTATTTGCTGTAAGCATTGATTTAGCTGATTAACAAATGATAAGCATATATTATGATAGTTACAGCATGGAGAAATTATAAAACTCAGTCCTCTCATTCCAGAGAGTATGAAGGAGTCCTGAGGGTGGGGATAAATGGTGGTCTGGGGTTCTAGGGGTGTAGGCCTGAAGTTAGCATGCAGATCCTTTGAGTCTAAGTCCATTCCAGTAAATTACAAGTTCAGTTATCAGTTGCTTTTATTCCAAGTGACAACTGTGGCATTCCTCCTTTCAATTGCAGGGTGATTCAGGCTTAATACCTCGGATCTGTGAAGGACTCTTCAGTAGGATAAACGAAACGACCAGATGGGATGAAGCATCTTTTCGAACTGAAGTCAGGTAGAGCCTGTGATCTGAATAACTGAGTGTGAGCTTGACTGGCCTTTTCTTTGGGTCCAAGGAATCCTGAAGGGAGACTCTGCCTTTCTCTTCCTATACTATCGTATTTTGAAGTAAAGCTTAAAACAAATATATGTTTCCAGTGACTTCCATGGGTATGATTTGGATTAGGATTTGGGAGACTGGCAGAAATCACTCAGCTTGGTCAGAAACTCTGACAAAGAATGTGTAACCCAAATGCAGTGCACTTTGTGATTTCTAAAGTCTTCCACCTAGTTCTTTTGCCTTATTTTTTTTAAGCTAAATACATAATTGTGCTATTCTTTATGTTGATAGGATCACTCTAAGTCTAATTTTTAAATACATCTGAATGGCTGAAGTAATTTTTTCTCTTTGAAATTAAACCTGGGGATTCCAGTCTGTTGAGTGGTTTGGAGAACAATCTAGGGTTCTCATGGCTGCTTGACTTTCAGTGAGAGAAGTTGTTTAAATCACCTAAATCTCCATTGCCTAATTTATAAAGGAAATAATTCACTAAAAGTTCTTAGCACAGTACCTGATACATAGTTATATCCATAGATGTGTGTTGCTATTATTATTAATGTCTGAAATCATGTTTCTGAACTCAATTCTTGCTACATTTTTTAGCTATTTAGAAATTTATAATGAACGTGTGAGAGATCTACTTAGACGGAAGTCATCTAAAACCTTCAATTTAAGAGTACGTGAGCATCCAAAAGAAGGACCTTATGTTGAAGGTAAGAGTGAATATATATATATATTTTAAAGATTTATTTATTTATGCATACAAGAGCTGGTGTACAGGCCAGAGGTTTGGGGGGTGAGAGGATTCACCAGAGACAGAGTGGGGAACAGAACAGGCAGATAGACCAAAGTACACTGCTGGGGGAGCAGCGGGAGAGTCAGGAGAGGTCTGCTGTGTCATGTGGGTTGCTCCCTGGCTGGCTGGGGATCAAACTCATGCTGCAGGGATTACGGAAAGCTTCATAGGTTGTGTCTTAACCCCTTGCGCCACCAGGGAGGCCCTAAGAGTGAATATTTGACTGTCTTGTATGTTTTGGGAATTTGTGCAAAAATAGTAATTTCAAAGAGAAGCATGTATCATAATGGTGCATTTTAGTGGCATATTTTTAACTAACCTAATGGTAATTTATGATCATAGGAGATTCTGAGGCTTCTTACCTATTGAGAATATTGTTTATGGGGTCTCCCAAGCCATGGTTCTCAGCATTTGTGTTGTGATACATTAGTTTGTGTCATCGTCAGTTGTGAGGGTCATCACAGTTATGGACAAAGGGTTGACTTTTGCTAATTAGTTAAATAATAAACTAGATTTAATGCTGTTGTTTTAATGGAGCTACTCACTCTGCATAAAGCAGCTGAGTCTTCAGGATTGCAGAATGTAGACTTGCTACCATGTGACTGTTGTCCTTCATGTGTGTCTCATTGAAGAGAAGGCTGAGAAATGGTCATGGGTTTAAAGATGTTCTTTCAGTGATATGGAAGATAGCCAAACTCCGTCTGCCTTTTATTTCCAATTAGAATTTTTCTTATCTTTCAATATTTTTTTTGTGTAGAAGAACTAGGGTGTAGTTCTTCTCATTCCCAGAAGCTCAGGGGGTGAGAGGATTCACCAGACCCAGAGTGGGGAGCAGAGCAGGTGGATCTACTGAAATACATTGGTAAGGGGAGCAACGGGTGAGACAGGAGAGGTCTGCTGTGCCATGTGGTTTAGCTCCCTGGCTGGGGATAGAAGTCAGGCCATGGTGGTGATAGTGCTGACACTTAATACCCAGGCCACCAGGGGTACCCTGGAATTTTGCTTTTTATGCCCCTGTATATTTCTTTGTGGAGTGTGGAATAGTTATTATTTTTTCATAGTTTAACATAACTGTGTCTTCATGTTTTCCCTTTAATTATCTTATCATGTTAAAACATATTAAATAGCTTGTTTATGAAGAGAAGGACAATCAAATGGGTTAAACATTCAGAATCTTATCTAGACACTTAGGGAGATTTAGTCTCTAATAAACCTGCTATTCATAGTTAGGAAGATTATGGATTATTAAGCTGTTGGGAGAAAAAAAGTAAATTGATAACCACAGCTTAGTGTTTACAACAGGAGAAGTGATTAATAGATCAAATTTAATGTAAAATGTGGTATCATAAATTGACTGCAAAAAGCTATGGGTTAATATTTTCCTAAATTTGGAGAAGACTTTTCAGAACTTGACTTAAAAACTAGAAATAAAAGATGTTAAATTTCAAGTGTTAAAAAAATAAAACTTTATACTTGGCAGAAACACCATTAGCAAAGTAAAAAAAGACAACTTACAAAGTGGGGAAATTTTTTTCAATTTTTGGTGCAAAGGGATTAATTTCTCTAATATATAAAGAGCTCCTGTACATCAATAAGGAGAGATCCAACAACCAAGCAGATAAATGAATAAGGCTATGAATAGATTATTCACAGAAATGGAAATAAAGATTGCTTTTAAATGGAGGAAAGAATGCTCATTTTCACTCATAATTAGAGAGAAGAAAAAACTACTTTGAGATGACATTTATTACCTGTCCCTGGCAGATATAAGTAAGCCCGATAAGACAGTGTTGGGAGATAGGCAGTCTTACATATTGCTTCTATTGGTTGTAAATTGCCTTCTGTGGAAGAGAGTTTTGCAGTATCTATCAAAATTTCGGGTATGCTTTGATCCAGCAGTTTTACCTCTTAAGAATTCATTCTACAGAAATATTCACACGTTTGGAAAGATGTAGATACAAATTATTTGTAGCACCTCTACTTATAATTGGAAACAAACTATAAACATTTTCTATAGTTTCAACAGGAGATTGGTTATGGTATGTGCATGCAATGGAGTGCTCCGTAGTCATAACAATGAATGAGCAATCACTCACCTTAACTGATACACAGAATGTTCTTCAATATATTATTGCATAGAAAAAAATCAGGATGCAAGACAATGTTTATAGTATGCTGTCATTTGTATGAAAGCGGGGGGAAGATGGATTTTCTATATATGCAATTTCCTGTATGTGTATGAGGCACTTCTGCAAAGGTGTGGAGAAATTAATAGCCTGACAGAAGGGAATTGGGAGTTGGGCAGTACGATAGAGGTAGAAGGAGCCTCTTTACATAGCATGTTTTGTAGCTTTTGATTTTGGAACCATATGAATGTCCCCAAAGAATGAATACAAGAATCTTTTAAAGGATTTAAAAAAATGTTTTCAGGGGCCTCCCCGGTGGCGCAGCGGTTGAGTGCTGGGTTGCTAAGCTGCCCGCAGCCTCTGCAGCGCCGGTTTGATCCCTGGCTGCTCCCCGGCCACTGGAGGAGGATCCCACATGGCGCGCAGACCTCTCCTTCCGCCCGCTGCTCCCCTCAGCAGTGTACTTCGGTCTTTCTGCCTGCTCTGCTCCCCGCTCTGGCTCTGGTGAATTCTCTCACCCTCCCGTGCTTCTGACTGTGCCCAGTGCTTATATAAATAAATAAATAAATCAATAAAAATAAATCTTTAAAAAATATATATATAAAAAAATTAAAAAAAATGTTTTCAGGTTTTACATGAAGATAAAGTAATATGTGCTAGAGTATACTAATGAGGTTGATGATAATAGTTGACATTTATCCTAAATACCCTCTCTGGTAGGTCTGTATTACTAGGCAAGGTGAGTGCCTTGGTCAGAACCATGCATGTGCACAGTAAGCCCAGAGCTGAGGTTGATTGCAGGCAGCCCAGTGTCCTAGTCTGCATTATAAATTACCACACTTGGGCCTCCCCAGTGGCACAGCGGTTGAGCGCTGGGCTGCGAAGCTGCCTGCAGCCTCTGCAGCGCCGGTTCGATCCCCAGCCACCGGGGCGGGGGTCCCACATGGCATGCAGACCTCTCCTGCCGCCTGCTGCTCCCCTCAGCGGTGTATTTTGTCGGTCTGCCTGTTCTGCTCCTTGCTCTGGCTCTGGTGAATTCTCTCACCCTCCCATGCTTCTGACTGTCCCCAGTGCTTGTATGAATAATTTAAAAAAAAATTACCACACTTTAGGAACACGTACGATCTTTAAACAATTCAACGGATTTGTAGAGTCACATATTACTTCCTAGAGGTAAATTTCCTATTCTGTTTACTATATGTTAGGGAAATTTCTTCACCCTCTTCTTTTTATTTCAGATTTATCAAAACATTTAGTACAGAATTATGGTGATGTAGAAGAACTTATGGATGCAGGAAATATCAATCGCACCACAGCAGCAACTGGGATGAACGATGTCAGTAGCAGGTCTCATGCCATCTTCACCATCAAGTTCACTCAGGTAAGGGCAGCTGTGGGCTGACTGGCTCTATCCCTGAGGTTTTCACTTGCTGATTAACACCAGCTGAGGACCCATCATTGTTGAACCAGGAGCAGCAGCAGGCAAAGGTGACTGACTGTCATTTTCTTGTTAATTAGAATTGAACATGTGTTGTGTGCTGGGTTTCTCTGTGGTTACAATCACAGTAATTTGACATATCCTGATGTGTACCCTTAAGAAATATTTAGCGGGTCTTCCCTGTTCTAGACATTAAAATAATAAAAAAAAAAAAAACCTTGGCTTTGTGCTTAATTAAGCATAAGTTTTCATTGTTGCAAGCTCTGTGGAAGATAATCAATTGCAGTCAGACCTGCTGGAGGCCAAGGTGAGTAATTCATTGTAGTACATTATTGCTTCATGAGGGTCACCCAACAGTGTTGATTATGATTACTATACTGATATTAAAGGACAATTAAAAATTTTAACTACTAATATAAGAATTCCTTCTGATCAAGAGGTGGAGAACATTTTAAAAATGGGAATGATCGAAGGCAAATATTTCCACACCTAGGCCAATAGAAAAATGAACATAAAAATGTAGTGTCTTCTTGGGACTCAAGCTTATGTTAGGAGTTTGGGGAAGTCCTACCCTGTTAATAGTTGAACACACCAATGCAAAAAGAGAGCACTTAAGCTATGATGGGAATCAGAGAGGAAAAGATCAGGAAAATTTCTCTCAGGTCAATAAGGAAAACTCTGATAAATTCTTCACACCTTAAATGTTCAGTAGACCTTTGCTTTTGATTTATTGTATTTTATTGGTTTTCCTCTTGCTTTCTGACTCCAAACTTCAAAGAGATTTACATTTCTATCAAAATACACTAATTTTTTAATGGCAGTTTGGTGTAACTGAAATGTAGGGAAAGCAATATTTTGGTGGAATTCAGAATCAAGGAATATAGTATTTAAGATTTTCACTTTTAAATAATTTGCAAAACAAATGTTTTAACATTGAATAGTGGTTGAATTATCTTCTATATATTTATCTACCTTCCTCACATTTGGACCACCTTTGTGCTTGGAATGCTGTAAATTCTAGATGAGGACAAAACTAATTATTTGTTAACTTTCATTTTTTTTTTATTGAGTGCCCCTTAGTTCCTTGTTCCTGTTCTGCCACAATTGGCTATTCTGCCGAAATGACGGTGTGATTTGAAATGGAATATTTCTTCAGAAAGCTTAAGAGTCACATATGGTAGACTTCTATTACTGAATTTATTTTTGGAAGTTTTCATAATTAGTAAGCTAGCCAATGAAACAACAAAATTAAAAACAACTTTCTGCCCTGAGAGATCACAGTGAAGAGCAGAAAATAATTAGAATTTGTATTATAAACAACATAAGGACTCTTTATACACCTTCAATTTTGCTTTTATATTTTACTACAGGCAAAATTTGATTCTGAAATGCCCTGTGAAACTGTGAGTAAGATCCACTTAGTCGATCTTGCTGGAAGTGAGCGTGCAGATGCCACTGGTGCCACTGGGGTTAGACTAAAGGAAGGGGGGAATATTAACAAATCCCTCGTGACTCTGGGAAATGTCATTTCTGCCTTAGGTAGGTTTATACTGTTTCCTGCCTTGTCTTTTATTGTTTGTGTATTAGCATGAAGTAATTATATAATGTTTGTGTTACAAACAGAGGTAATAGCCTCAAGGATTTTTTAAGCCAATTAGAGGAAAAAAATACCTTAATAATTTTTTTGGGTTTTTTTTTTTCCCTCCCGGCAGCTGATTTATCTCAGGATGCAGCAAACCCTCTTGTAAAGAAGAAGCAAGTTTTTGTGCCTTACAGGGATTCTGTTTTGACTTGGTTGTTAAAAGATAGCCTTGGAGGAAACTCTAAAACTATCATGATTGCCAGTAAGAATTTTAAGTTCTTTTCCTCAGCATGTTATGCTTCATGTGAATTAACTCTGAATATTTCAGTTTAAAGTGTCTCATTAGAAATCGCTTTCTGTTAGTCTTAAAAAATAGCTTCTGTTAGTCTCATTAGGAATAGCTTTCTGTTAGTCTTTTCTGTCTTAAAGAAAATCACTTACTATGATTCAGTCTATACTATTTTACTAATGGACCCTCTTTGCCTCTTCCTAGTTACCCAGACATGCCACGTGCTTGCTCGTGGAGGCTGGGATACATGTACAATAACCCTCGGCTTTTCTGTCTTTAAGCGCAGCACAGAAACTTTTAATACCACTAACTCAGATGGGAAGATCATTTTAGGGGTTTAAAGTGAAAATAACCCAGCTTAGTTTTTCTATTACAAAGTAGTAAATTGGAATTTAAATTAAGAGTTGACTCTGGGGTGTGCACCTAAAGGCAATTGTATAGTCACCTAGTTCCTGAAGCTTGTGATTTGGGGTGGTGGTGGTACTATTTTTTATTTATTTATTTATTTTATTTTTTACTTTTATTTTATTTTTATTTTTTTTAATAATAAATTTTATTTTTATATTCCCCATACAATTGCAAGCCCCCCATTCTGACCCCAATCCCTCCCCTCCCGCCCCCCCACCCCCCAAAAAGTGTCTCTGGTTCATAGTTTTTTGTTGATTTTGATTTTCACTTTCTTATAGTTATTCATTGTCCTGGTCCCTTATTTAAGTTTTCTAGATTCCTTCTATGAGTGAGACCATCCGGTATTTTTCTTTTTCTTTCTGGCTTATTTCGCTGAGCATGATCCCTTCCAGCGCCATCCATGTTGTTGCAAATTGCATGTGTTTATCTTTTTTGAATGCTGAGCAATATTCCATGGTATATATGTACCACATCTTCTTGATCCATCATCTAATTTTGGGCATTTGGGCTGTTTCCAAAGCTTAGCTATTGTAAATAGTGCTGCTGTAAACACAGGGGTGCAGGTGTTCTTTGAAATTGATGTTTCTGTGTCCTTTGGGTAAATACCTAGGAGTGGAATTGCTGGATCATATGGAAGCTCTATGTTTAGTAGGTCCAGAAATCTCCACACAGCTCTCCATAGTGGTTGGACCAGTTTGCACTCCTGGTGGTGGTACTATTAATAAAGATTTTAAGATTGAAAGAATTTGCTGGCTTACTGACTTTAAAATTTATTCTGCTCTGCATTTTATAGATTTTTATTCTGCATTTTTCTATCTTTTAAAGGTATTTTAATTTCTACTCAATGCTGAGAAGCACAAATAGTCTTGATTTCTTCCTCTTCATATGTTTCTATAAAATGAACTCCTTAACTACACTGGAGTATCATAGCTCACTTTAGAGTTGGTTTGATGGCTGATTCTAGACTTGAGAATAGCAGAATGACATTTAATTTGGTATAGTGAGCACCTTTTCCTATAAATCTTCAATAATTTTTAATATTCATGACTGCGGCAATGGATATTTAGTATATCCACTGACCTTGGGTTACTCTGACTTTTAAATTACAAACCATCTTTGTGTTAAATGAAACACAGAGTGCTGGATAAATTATATTTTTCTAATCCATTCCTCACAGCCATTTCCCCTGCTGATGTCAATTACGGAGAAACCCTAAGTACTCTTCGCTATGCAAATAGAGCCAAAAACATCATCAACAAACCTACTGTTAATGAGGATGCAAATGTCAAACTCATCCGTGAGCTGCGAGCTGAAATAGCCAGACTGAAAACACTGCTTGCTCAAGGAAATCAGGTTGGGTTTTTCCGAGATTTATAGATCATTTTTTTTTTTTTTTGAGTAATGGCATCTATTTCTACATCTTAATGAGACAATTACCTTACTCATAGTATTGATTTGAGTAAATAAATGCTAAGTAAAGCTCTGAAGGAGCCAGCCAGCCTCTCCTTTATATCCCATTGGCCTCTGCATTCATTATGTGCTCTCTGTTAAGATTTTCTCCATCAAACATGAAACGATTAACTTTCTGAAAGTTATTAATTATGGCTGGAAATTTAACATGCGACAGGATTAGCAGAATAAACAATTGTGGAAGGAAATTGAAGTACTTGAAGTAATATTTAAAATTCTACCTATTCATTTTTTGAGTTGAAAATATATTTTAACAGGGTGAAGGACTTGAACACCTTTCTGAATCTCTGAGCATCATGACCGGTGGTTGTGGTGATGCTGTGCATGTGTGGTCCGACTGAGATGATTTCCTGGCACCTTGAGGGCTCATTGAGTGGCCTCACTTCATTGTCTTTTGGGATTCTAGTGAAGGAGTTATGTCCTTTTGTGTTTTTCACAGTAAAGTTCCTTTATAGTCTGCAGAGTGTACATACAAGGGCACATTCTGTGATGAGTAGTTTGAGTTATGTTCTGGGAGGTTTATACACTATTGTGAAAAAAGGCCACCTTTTGAAAGAAAATCAAAGATAACTTTTATAAATGTTCAAGTAGGATGGGAGTTAGAAATTAAGCAGAGATACCTTTCTTCCCACTTTCTTGCCCCATGAATGGATGCCTTAATTATGTCATTCAAATAAAAAAAAAACTTAAAATCCAAGTGTTAGCTCTGGAACAGCTTTTTATACAAGAATATATGCCCTTGAAGCTCTTTTCTCATAAGTGGTTTGACCTATGAACATATTGAAAACTTTGCTGAATTTCCTGTCTTCTGAAATCCACCTGACAGTTCTTTCCCATAAAGTGGTGGGCAGAGGTTGAATGGGAATTAAATACTCATTGCACTTAGAAGTATCTCCATATACATTTTACTTTTTGATATAGACCAAGGAAATTGTCAGAGTGACAAGCTGATCTGTATGTTTCAGGCTTGTATAACTTATGACATGAACCACAGTTGTCGGTTTTAGTGGTATACCTTATTATTGGGATTTTTTTACAAACATCATTTGTCTAAAGTAAACATTTATGGATGAAGCAACAGGATCACCCAAACTGCTCTCTTTGAAGGAAAAGTATTTGAAAATTTTTAGATATAACTTCTATTAAGTTATGAGAACAAAGGAGAAAAAAGAAAGATCAGCCTTTATAAACTGAACTAAGGAAACCCTTGAAAGGAGTCTTATCACTGGACAGAAAAATTTTAATTTATAAAAATGGTAATAAATTATGTCAGGGGAATGCCTTCAGAGGTATTGGATATCCCAGTTACCTTATACTTCGTGTTCTTTTGTGTTGTTTCTTTCATGACCAAAGTCCACTTCTGTAATTAAAGTATTGTTGTTGCTGTATTTTAGGGGTGAGGGTGGAAAAGATAGTTAAGTCTATTTTAGAACACATTCAAGATAAAATTCTTTGATAAATTTAATACATTACAATAAAAATGGAGTCTAATTTAAAATAATTTATTACACTGTGAAGGTATAAATTGAGGCAATACAGCCTTATCCTAAATTAATTAAATTTGTGATGCTCAATAAAAAAAAGCAGGTGTTCTTAAGTGCCCATTAAAAATCTGTTTATAAAGATTTTCTGTGACATTGCTCTATTCCCAAAATACTCTTCCAAATGCTGCCATGGTTCAGTAAAAATGTTACTCAAATCAAAGTTCCATTTCTAGGGTTATTTGTTTAAGTACAGCTAAAAACAAGTCAGCTCCTACTGTGAATAATTTTTATCTGTTTGCCAATGCAGAATGTCATATGCATTATCATTTCGAAAGCACCATTTAAATAAACCAAAAGACTATGACATGCATTTGTTTTTCCTATATACAGATGTTATATATATGTGTGTGTGTATGTGTATGTATACACACACATCCCACACCACAATCTGTACCATAGAAGTCCCCTTATGTTGCTTGACTTATAAAAATTATAGATTAAAGTTTTGCTTGTTTTGTTCTTTACGTAAGTGGAATCATGCAGTATATACTTTTGATTGTACTTCTTTCTCTCTACGTTATGTTTCTGAGATTCATCCATGTTTTCTTTAAATTTTTATATGTATATATATATTTTACATCATTGTTTATTTTTGTACAATGTTTGATTTTTCCTCTCAGGTGTAATCCCCATAAAATTCTCACCACCAGGTCACCCGTGAACCATCACCACAGTCTTTCATGTTCTGCCCTCCTTGTTTTGATCACTTTTCCTTCCCCTTCCCTTCTGAATGGCTCTGATTTATAGTTTGCTTGCTAGTTTTTATTTATTTATTTATTTATTTATTTATTTATTTTCCTGATCCCTTCTTTGGTTACCCTATATTCCTCTTATAAATGAAACCATCTGATGTTTTTCTTTTTCCTTATGACTTATTTCACTGAATATAATTCCTTCTAGCTCATTCCATGTTGTTGCAAATGGCAGGAGTTTATCTAAATATATTCCATTGTGTGTGTGTGTGCGTCACATCTTTTTTTATCCAGTCATCTGTTTTGGGGTTTTTAGGTTGTTTCCATATCTTAGCTATTGTAAATAATGCTGCAGTAAACATAGGTTTCCTTTCGAATGCAGGTTTCCTTTCGAATAAATGTTTTTGTGTCCTTTGGGAGGAACCTCCACTCAGCTTTCTCAGCTTTCTGTTGTGGTTGGACAGTTTTGCATTCCCACCAGTAGTGTAAGAGTGTTCCCTTTCCTCCACATCCTCACAAGCAATTGTTGTTGCCAGTTTTTTTTTTTTTTTTTTTTTTTTTTAATATGGGTCATTCTCACTGTTGTAAGGTGGTATCTCATTGTGGTTTTGATTTATATTTCCCTGATTGTAAGTGATGTTGAACATTTTTTTCATATACCTGTTGACTATTTGCATTTGGAGAAGTGTCTTTTTAGCTCATCTGCCCATTTTTTGACTGGATTGCTGGCTTTGTTTTTGTTGAGTCATGTGAACTCTTTGTAGATCTTTGAAATCAGTCTCTTCTCAGTTGTATGGAGTACAAAAAATTTCTCCCAATCAGTAGGGTGTCTCTTTGTTTTGGTTATTGTCTCTTGCAGTATAGAAACATTTTAGTTTGATATAGTATCTTTTCTTTCACATTCTTTGCTTCATGGGATGAGTCTTTAAAGATATTTCTGAGATGTGTGTCATGGAGTGTTTTCTCTATGTTTTCTTCTTCATATTTTATGGTTTTAGGTCTTATGTTCAAGTCTTTTATCCCTTTTGAGTTGGCTTTTTGTGCATGGTATAAGGTAGTAGTCTAGTTTCATTCTATTGCAGGTGGTAGTCCAGTTTTCCCAGATTAGTTATCCATATATGTGTGGCTTTATTTCTGGATTTTCAATTCGATTCCATTGTTCTTTGTGTTTGTTTTTGTTCCAGTACTACACTGTTTTAATTATTATGGCTTTGTAGTATACTTTGAAATCTGGGAGTGTGATATCTCCATTTTCCTTCTTTTTAGTCAGGAGAGCTTTGGCTATTTGAGGATTTTTGTGATCCCATATGCATTTTAGCTGTATTTGTTCTATTTGAAGAATGCCACTGAGATTTTTTTTTTGAAGCAGAATTTTATTTATTTATTTATTTATTCATTTATTTATTTATTTATATAAGAACAGGGCTACAGGTCAGAAGTGTGGGAGGGTGAGAGAATTCACCAGAGACAGAGACTGGAGCAGAACAGGTGGACGGACCAAAGACACTGCTGAGGGATGGGTCTCCCCGGTGGCACAGCGGTTGAGCGCTGGGTTGCGAAGCTGCCTGCAGCCTCTGCAGCGCCGGTTCGATCCTCGGCTGCTCCCCAGCCACCGGAGGAGGGTCCCACATGGCGCGCAGACCTCTCCTGCCGTCCGCTGCTACTTTGGTCCTTCTGCCTGCTCTGCTCCCTGCTCTGGCTCTGGTGAATTCTCTCACCCTCCTGCGCTTCTGACTGTACCCAGTGCTTATATAAATAAATAAAGAAAGAAATAAAGAAAGAAAGAAATCTTAAAAAAAAAAAAAGACACTTCTGAGGGGAGCAGTGAGCGAGGCAGGAGAGGTCTGCTGTGCCATGTGGGGTTCTCCCTGGCCAGCGAGGAATCAAACCAGCGCTGCAGAGGCTGCGTACAGCTTCGCAGCGTGGTGCTCAACTGCCGCGCCACCAGGGAGGCCCTTCACTGAGATTTTTTATCAGACTTGTATTGGAGACTCATCCATGTTGATGCAGGTAGTGGTAGATCCATTTATTTTTATTGCTATATTGTATTCCTTGATACAGGTATGACCCAATCATTTATTAATTCTATTTTTGATGGGCATTTTGGAAGTTTCCTGTTTTGTGACTATTAGTGCTGCAATGGATTTTTTTTTTTCTGCTTGTCTTGTTGTGAACATACACAGATAAATTTCTGTTAGGTTTATTTGTAAGAATGGAGCTGGTGGGTAAAAAGTTGTCCATATATTCAGTTTTAGTAGATACTGTCAAACAATTTTTAAAAGTGGGTATACTAATTGTTATTCTACCATTAGTATATAAATGTGCCAGTTATAGTTGTTTTAGCAACTATAGCAACACTTAGTATGTTCATTTTTCTTTGTAACTATCCTGATAGGTTTAGAACATTCTTGTAGAATGATTTTAGTTTGCTTTTTTGTGAAGTTGAGCAATTGGATATCTTGTCATTTCAAGTGTTCTTTTTTTATTATGTTTAAAGCATATTTTCAGAATTCTTTGTATTTGGCAGTGCACAAATTTCTCTCACCTCTTCTCTCGTGAATGTATCTGGAGGTAACAAGAACATTAAACCATATAGAAATGAAATAAGCAAATAAAGTCAGGAATCAAAGAAATACTGATTAAGAAAAGATGGAAGTAGGGTGAATTTTACTTTTTGTAGTTGAAGTCATAGATAAACTTTAAATAATGATAGGTAACAGAAATATGTGTAAACTTTTAATATAGATACATCTTATATAGAGTCACAAAATAAAACTCAGCTATCTGAGATTTGTAAAAATGGGCTAAGGTCTACCAGGTGATTCAAGAGGAAAGAAACATTAATAAAAAGTATTGTGTGAATCTAAAGAAAGCACTTACTTATGATAAAAAAAAAATCGTCAGTAAATCAAACATGACAACGGTTTTCATAAAAATAAGAGGAAACAGTCACACCACATTTATCACATTAAAGTAAGTAAGGACATAATATATTTACATGACATAATGAGAATTTAATCAGGAAAAAAAGGAAATGCACTAACTCATGCAGCAGAAAATTGCTTTTTTTTAATGGAAAGAGCTTCAGTTAAAAAATAAGAAAAAGATCACAATGCAAATGGAAAAGTAAATAATTGTGAGCACAATCCATAGAAAAAGTTTCAAATGAGTCCAAAACATATGAATATATACTGAACATCACTTGATATACAGTAAATGCAGATATTGAGAGTGGTAAAAATGGGTATTCTTATGCATATGGGTGCAATCGCCATCAATCTGTATATGTCACTGTGTGTAAATTATGTCTCAAAGTTAATTAAAATGAGGTATTTTTTTTTTGTTTTAATGTCAAAAACAGTTTGAGAATTTATTTTCTCTCAGGCAAATATTATTTTTATTTTTTAAAACATTTTAACTGAAGTAACATTTTGATATGGCATTATATATGGCTTAGAAGTTAATCATCAAGAATCTACATGTATGTATACTACACATACACACCAGAGTCTATAATACTACCCATGTTTTATTTTTTTTTTTTTTTTTTTTTTTTATAGAGGCATGTTTTTTTTTTTTTTTTTATTTATTTATTTGTTTGTTTGTTTGTTTATACATGCACTGGGTACAGTCAGAAGTGCGGGAGGGTGAGAGAATTCACCAGAGCCAGAGCGGGGAGCAGAGCAGGCAGAAGGACCGAAGTACACTGCTGAGGGGAGCAGCGGGCGGCAGGAGAGGTCTGCGCACCATGTGGGACCCTCCTCCGGTGGCCGGGGAGCAGCCGGGGATCGAACCGGCGCTGCAGAGGCAGCGGGCAGCTTCGCAACCCAGCGCTCAACCGCTGCGCCACCAGGGAGGCCCACTACCCATGTTTTAAAGGGTTGCTAAATGTTTTGAAAATTATCAACTATATATAAATAATGCAGTCATAGTCATGTCTGCCACTTGCATTTCTTCAGTGAAAAATATTTGTTGTGTACCATCTGTGAGCAAGACAGCATACTAGATGCAGCGGTACATTGTAGTAATGTGCTTATAAACCTCCTTTCCATCACTAATGATGAATTTCTTTTACATTAGGGTTAACTTACTGACTTTATGAAGTGGATAACTGGGCTATATGACTTATGATAAAAATGATCCCTAATTGGGATATTGCATTTGGACTAGGATGAACTATATATAAACTTTGAATGCCCCGGGGGAAGCCATTGCTTTGGGTTTCCCTGAGTACAATGATTCTGGTAACTGTGTGTGTCCTTGTGGGACCCTGGAGGTTGTGCCTATGATGTTGTTACCAAAAAATGTTGGCTCCTATGGGGTGTGGGCACCTATACCACTGTGGGTCCCACACATGCCTGTGTGACTCCTGGTCCCTTAAGAGGGCCAAAGTCAACAGAGGCTGCACAGTTGTGAGGACTGCTGGGTAGACTGCACATGACCTGTCCCTCCCTGCCCTCAGCTCTGACTTCTGCTGAGTAGACAGATGCCAGGTGTGACCCCTGGAAGTCTTGTTAGTCTGAATGTTTAACTGAGTGTTAGAAGACCACCTCATGGGTATATTTGTTTGAATAGAAATTGTGAAATAAACAGTCATGAAAAAAATGCTATGGCCTCTGCAGATGACAGCTTAGCAATTTAAAAGGACATGTCATTCATATAGATGACTCACAGATTCCCTTCTAGGAATTTATTTCTATTGATCCAACTATGTATATTGTAGGCAACTGATGTAGAATAGCCATTGTAGCTTTGCTGGTAAAGCAGAAGATTAGAAAAAACTGTATGGCCATTAATGGGAAAGTGCTGACATAAATTACATAATATCCGTACAGTGAATTACTGTGCAGTGGAATGGGGATTGTTAAAAAGAACGAAGTGGTTTCATTTGTGCTGAATTTTCCCCAAGACAGGTTGTTGAGTGAAAACAGGCCATATTCAGAATAGTGTTCATGCTGTTTATGTTTAAAAAAAAAAAAAAAAAAGCTAAAACATGCTGGAATATGACCAGAATAAGTTTACACAGTGAATTGGTAAAAGTGATACTCTGTGGGGAAGGGAAGGAGATCCTCCTCTCTTCTTTCTGATGACATGTAAGGTAGCTCTCAGGTTATGGGTTATGAGTGGGGTCATGTAAGGTACCTCTCAGGTTATGGGTTGTGAGTGGGGTTAAAACCCCCTTGCACTGTGCCTCCCTCCATTTTCCTCACCTGTCTCAATTTGCCTTGTTCTTCCTTGTTTATACTCAGTGCATGTTCAAGATAGACAAGTCTTTTTACTTTTGCAACATAGATAAGGATATGGGTACTTAGGTTGTGGCGTAGCTGTTCCATACATATAGTTTCCTCCAGTAGTAAAAATAAATCAACATGGAAGAGTATCAAAAACTGATGGTTGAACCAGGCTCCTTTCTTTTTGAATTTTGTACTCTCTGCATATTGACAGATGAGATAGATAAGATAGAAGACTCCTTTAGTTCTAGGCAGTTAGATAGTATTTGATATTGGTAAAATGTCAGTATGTTACAGGTTTGTCTTTTTCTTTCGCTTTCCTGATTTGTATTGCAAATGTAAATTTACCAGGATATCATGGTTTTGAATATTATGAGATATGTACTCCCTGGATTAAAAGAGTTGTGATGATTGACACTTTTGGGGGGTTGTTATACTTCAGTTCTTTATTTTTTTTTCCCCTCCATTTAATGGTATATTTGGACATTTTGATAATTATGTCATGATGCAAAGCTTATTCTAGATTATGGATTTTTACCAATTGCTGTTCTCTTTTATGATTTAAATTGTAGATTGCCCTCTTAGACTCCCCTACAGCCCTGAGTATGGAGGAAAAACTTCAGCAGAATGAAGCAAGAGTAAGTCATACCTTAACTTGTTATTTAAAAAAATCACAACTTCTTTTAAGTGCATGCTTTTTAATATTTGCTGTTTGAGAGTCATATTCTTTCTTCATTACCCAACACCACCTCTCCCTTGGCCCTACTGTCTTTCGTTTATTTATTTCACGTGTAATGGTTGACTTTTGATCATGTTCCCGGTGACTTAATAAATGGAGTTTGCCTGGCATGTGACAACTGAACTGCAGCTGAAATTCACCCTGAGACACCTTAGTAGTAGATAGGAAACCTGGCGGGAGAGGGGCCATGTTCAGCATTCACATTAACCATAGCTAAGCCATGACCATGGCTCAGTTTTTTGTCATTCTTTTACTTTGGTTCCAGTGGAAGTGCAACACTTGGAAAAGCTCTAAATACTTGAGGAAGATGTTAGTTCCTCTGAAGCTAGATGATATTAGAGGCAGGGAGAGCGTGACAGTGAGTGATAGGAAAAGAGAGTAGCTAGGTAGGGGCTGAAGACAGTGTTTGTGCACTGGTGCCTTTTGACAACCAGTTTTATGGTTGACCTAGTTTTATGCTATTTTCATTTTTTTCAAAAACCCCTCCTGTAAAAGAGAAACACCTATTAAGAACATTTTTGTAGTAGATTTTGTTCACTGTACTGAATGGTTAAAACAGTTTGAGAAAGAAAATTGGATTTTGTTGTAAAGTTCTTTCAAGAATATACAGTATTGAAGTTATAAATTGGGTTATAGTTAGGAACTTGTTGACACTTTCCTGGATAATTGCACTGATTAATTTTCTGATAATAACAGTAGCAAAAACATTAGCTTCTTAATCCCTGTTTTTCTCATGAAATTTTATATTTTAGTACTTTAAATTCTAATTTTGAGTCCTATTGTAATGTCTGGTTATAGTCTTAACTTGTTTCTTAATAGTTTTCAGGAATACTATCAAGTTAATAGAAGCTAATAAACATTTTAATTTGAATACATTGTACATGCTGTGACAGAAATGACTGTCTACCTTCTTCATAACTTTTCCAAATTTTCATCTAGCATTTTTTTGCTGACCTTTAAAATTGTTTTCCATTTGTTTAGCAATAAATCTTATCACCTGATTACATTGCTAGAGGTAGTATCACATGTTTGCATTTTTTTCTTAATTTTATAAATGAAGACTGTTTGCTTTAAATTCAATAGTAAAATAAATCCAAGACATAGCTATAATTTTTTGAAGGCTATAATTATTTGATTGAATTGTGAAAAAATTGATTGGCTTGCATGTTTTCAGGGAGACTATATCTGTGGTGAAATGAAGAAGCATTTATTGTTGGATGCTTTTTTTATTTCCTCAGATAAATTGCCAGTGAGAATCTGTTAAGTGATTATTATAAATTAGCACATCCAATATACTGATTTTCTTCCTTTCTGTAGAGAGAGCTTTCCCCTTCAGAAAGCTTTCCCAAAAGCTGGTATCCATGTGAGTTGGCATGACTCAGGTGATGAAGTGAGGGGCCTCCAGTGTGTGACTGGTTCCTGATAGAACATCACAGTCTTACCAGCCATTCAAAACAAGTGACAAAGCTATCGAGGATCAGTCCTGTTTCTTTTGCTTATAACTGAGAAGATGATTGATTTTGACATTAATAACACATGAAGAAGAGATATTTTAATTTAAAACTCTACATTCTACTTTGAGGTTAATTGAGGAGTAAAGTGAATGACCACTGAACAATCGAATGTAGGTGGGTGAGAAATATTTTGGGTTTCTTCTTGGATAAATCATCCCTTTAGTTCCTCCATTTCTTGTTAGTAACAAGTTCTGACACAAATACCCTTTCCAGTTACTGTGCTTAGTGTTGTGTGGAAAGTATCTTCCTCTTAGCAGTGCATGCACAAGCAGACATAGTCTGTGCATTCATTGTGACCTGTTTAAAAAGGATAATTTAATAGTCGGAAAAAAACAGCAGGTTTAAAGGGAATGGTGTCTGTTATTGGAGTAGGGAGGTGGCAGGAATGCTAAAGAACAGAAGGGAAAAGGGAAGGAAAATGTCAAATTCTCTCTTCTCCCTGCCCCTTGGAAATGACTCTTTTCTGCTATTGGTATACTCCTTGTTTCAGAACACATTTTTTACACTTCCCCCGCCCCCACCTCTTGATCAGGTACTATTTGCTGTTTCTTAATGAACTCACCATGGTCATTTAAAAAATTTTATAAAACTAATAGAATATTTTCTTTTTTTAAAAAAAGATTTATGTATTTATGCATACAAGAACTGGGGTAAAGGCCAGAGTTATCGGGGGTGAGCAGATTCACCAGAGACAGAGTGGGGAATAGAATAGGTGGATTGACTGAAATATACTGCTGAGTGAGTGTATTTCAGTGAGGGGAGCAGTGGGCGAGACAGGAGAGATCTGCTGCACCACGTGTGTTAGCTCCCTGGCCGGGGATTGAACTTGTGCTGCAGTGGCTCTTGATAGCTTCCTATTGCTGAAATTTAACCCCTTGCACCACCAGGGAAACCCCAATAGAATATTTTCATTAACTTCAAGAAATAATCTCCAGCTGTGTTATGTTCAACGGTTGGTGGCATTTTCTTCCCTAAGTTACAGCAGACTGGAAAGAAACTGATTTTTATCAACAGACTTTTTTTTTTTTTTTTTTTTTGGTGGGACCCTCGCCGTGGCCGGGGATTGAACTGGTGCTGCAGAGGCTGCGGGCAGCCTCGCAACCCAGCGCTCAACAAGCTGTGCCACCAGGGGAGGCCCCTAACAGATTTTTACTGAAACAGTCAATTAAAGAACCACTTTTTCCCCCCTTAAATGTAGAATGAGATTTAGAAACCATATTAATTAGCCATAAATGCAGGTTATCGTCTAAAAGAAAACGGAAAGCATCCAGGGAGATTTTATCACCACATCTAATTAGAAAAGAAAGTAAATCACTATTTCTAAGGACCTAAAATATAATCATGAAAGATGAACCCGTTTATTTTTATTTTTTAATTATTTTTTAAAAACACTTGGGTTTGTTTTTTTTAAAAAAATATTTATTTTTACACAAGAGCTGGGGTACAGGCTAGAGGTGTGGGAGGGTGAGAGGATTCACCAGAGACAGAATGGGGAGCAGAACAGGCAGATAGATGGACTGAAATACACTGCTGATGGGAGCAGCTGGCGAGACAGGAGAGGTCTGCCGTGCCATGTGGGTTTCTCCCTGGCAGGCTGGGAATTGAACCCACACTGCAGAGGCTGCGGACAGCTTCACAGTGCTGCGCTCAACCCGCTGCACCACCAGGAAGGCCCAAGATGAACCCATTTAATGGGACGTTGCCATCCCTGAACTTGTAATCTTCATTAATATCCAAGGGAACATCTCTTACTTATGTTTACCATGAAAAAGACTATTGTAAAACTTTAAGCAACTTGACAATTTTTTTTTTTTTGTACCTTTGTGGTAATGTATTTTGTAGGATGAGATCAGCTTGCTTGATTTATATTTAGTGATGGTCCTTTCAGGGATAGAAATTGCTATCTAATGAAAAAATACATATAATGCATCCTTCCATGAGCTGTAAGAGTTTGGAAACTTTCTATAAGAAAATCACAATTTTTTTTTTTATATAGCACTCTTATATATATTTTCTTTTTTAGGTTCAAGAATTGACAAAGGAATGGACAAACAAGTGGAATGAAACACAAAATATATTGAAAGTAAGGAGTATAAAAAATGTCTTGATCTTACTCTGCCATCTTAAATAGGCAAAACTTTTTATTTTCTCCTTCAAATAGTTCAAATAAACTATTGTGTGCTTTGCTAAAGGTAAGATAAGTGGAATCAATTAGTGATTTTTTGGGTGGGGGGAGGTCAGGTTGTGTTTTGATTTTGAAGAAATGGAAACGTAGGCTTTCAGCATTAAAGCTGTGTATATTTTAATATCTATGAGTCCTGCTGATTCTTGAATTGTTTACTTGTGGAATTTTTCCATTTTAAATTCAGTACATATTAAACTCCATTTAATATTTAAGAGCATCCATCTTGCTTTCTCCTTTTGTTAAACCCAATATAAAAGTGATATGTTAACATAAAAAAAAAACCCTCTGTATGTCAATATTGTAAGATATGTTTGCATAGCATGATTAGATTTCACAAATTTCTAGAATAGTTATTTCCTGTTGGAAGTATTTTCTTTGTCTCTCAAAAGCTGGTAACATTTCTGCAATTCTGGTAACATGGTAACATTCATTGTAAAAGGTTGTCAGTAATGGCTTTCCTTTTTGAGAGTTTATGCCTCAATTTACATGTTTTCTTATGTTCTCATTTTTTGCTCCATTGGTAGAAAAACATGTGCCATCTATTGAAGGTCAGCCATACCAGGTTTCAGGTTCAGACTTGAATTTTCTGCTTTGATGGCATCTCTCTGATTTTACATGAGAGAAGGTGACCTAGAGGCTGCTGAGTTCTAGACTTGTTTTTGAGGTCTGTTGAGGTGAAGCTGAAAGGCTGGAAATCTCCCTATAATTTTGGTGAGGCTACATAGATGAAGATAAACTGCATCTCTTGGCAGAACCTTAACTTGCATCCCCTTCATGTGAAAATGGGGCACATAATTACCATTTTATGGGGTAAACTTTTGAGGGCTTGGGTTAACCATTCAGTTTTGCATCTAAATAGTCTTCAGGGTTGGGTTAGCTGAATATCATGGAGAGTTCTCCTTGTACCGTTATGCAACTTGGTCCACTCCTGGGGTCAAAAAGACAACCTCTCATGAGGTAGGAGGTAGTGCTGCAGTTCACCTTGGTGGTGAGTTTTGATGACCTTAGAGATATTCTCTCCAGTGATGGAAAGCACTGCATTAAGGGAAGGTGACTGTTCAGACTTTTTCTCTCCTCTTGCTAATGATGATGATGTATTTTGAGGCAGTTCATTTGTTGAGAAATTTTTATACCGGCAGCTCTACCATTTTGGAGCAGTTACGTAGGGATTAAGCCCGACCAACTTTAAGAAATAGTGTTAGAGGGGGCGGAGCAACATGGCGGCGAGGAGACGCTGCGAGTAAGATCTCCCATTAAAAAAAGTGAATAGGGAGGAAAAGCGGCAGGTCCCAGTGAGAACTGGGACACGGAAGATAAACGGGTGACGGAAGATAAACGGGTGACGCCAGCGAAGTGCCCGAAGAAGAAACTGGCCATAAAAGAGGACTAGAAGGGAGGGAAGCGCAGAACCCTGCTCCCCTCCCCCGCCCACAGAGGCGGCACTCTCCGACCCGCAGAGAGGAGGAAACAACACACCAAAACGGCCCACAAGAACAAACGACGCAGCAAGCGGGACTGTGAGTGGAAAGGAACTATTGCAGCCACCACACCCCGTGAACGGGAGCTGAGGCGAACCCTGCAGGATCCGCCGCGGCGGTGAGCGAACGGCTCCGGGCGCCAATAGAGAAGAACAAAGACCCCGGGAGACCCGCACACAGCCCAGGCTGCCGGTAAGCCTGCGCGGGAAAGCGGCGCACTCGGCGCGCTTGAAAAGCAAGTGCAGACCTGGATCGCAGCTGCCCAGGTCCCCGCGCCTGTGACCTAGGCTTGCGGGGAGACGACCTAGGCTTGCGGGGAGACGCACAGAGGTCCTCACTGAGGTGAAGGTCCCTCCCTGAGTGAGCAGGAACCAGGCGCCCAGGCACCGGAGCGGTGCAAAAGGCGCCATTCCTGTGCCACTGAACTGGGCTACAGCCCGCGTCCTGGAACTGAGGGCTTTGAACTGAGACCCGGGGCACGAAAATTCGGGGCGTGGTTTCTCCATGACGGTGGGGCACAAGGCAGACACAGCACCCCAAAGCTGTTGAGGTGTACCCTACCATTCCCGCTCTGTTCTCTGTCCCACGGGGTGGGGGGAGGCGAAAAACAGCCCCCCAAGGACAATAGGAGAGATCTCTGGCGCCACCTAGCGACCAGGAAAAAAAAAGTCACTAACACCCTATAAAACAGGACATTTCTTAAGACTGCTTGAAAAGGGCAGAAGGTTTCTGGAGGACCCAGTGGCCAGCCGGGAAGTTATTCCACGCCAGGCCCCTTCCGACCAGCAGTCTGAGCCCACAGAGGGAGCAGGCACCCACGTCCGGGGCAGACCGGGTGCGCAGAAGAGTGTGCCTGAAACCGGAGGCACAGGGACTGCATCCCGCTTCGCCATTTGAGAACAGGGACATTTCTTCAGTAAAAACTGCCTAAAACCAGCAGAAAGCTCCCCCAGAAGACAGAGATGGCTCCTGGAAGAGCCAGAGGGGAGCGGAGAAGTTCACCCAAGATGTCAGTCAGTCCGAGCAACACAGTGTCCCAACGCATACGACAAATTAGAAAACAGACAGTAGGGAGTAGAAGAACCACACGCAACCTAACAACTCCTCAGGAAAGAAGCACACCACAAAAAGAAAACCACTCCCCAGATTGCAACGACAGCAACTTGGAAGAACTTCTGAGCCTTCCAGAAAGAGAATTTAAAATTGCCATGATTAAAAAAGTGATAGATCAGAAGAAGGAAATTGAGTCCCTAAAGAGGGAAGTAAGAGAAATGCAGGAGATCAAAGAATTAATGGAGGAACTAAAGAACTCTGGGAAAAGCAATGAAAGCAGAATAGATGAAATGGAAGAACGAATAAGTAATCTTGAAGACACAGAAATAAAAAGAACCAAAACAGAAAAGGAAAGAGAAGTACGAAGGAAAAAGAATGAAGAAAGACTTCGGGAACTATCTGACTCCATGAGGAAAGGAAATATAAGAGTTATAGGAATTCCAGAAGGAGAGGAGAGAGATGTAGGAACAGAGAAAATATTCATGGATATAATTGAAGAGAACTTCCCAAATGAGAAGAAGGAGCTGAAAATTGATATACAAGAAGCAAGAAGAACACCAAACTTCCACGACGAAAGGAAAAACACAGCAAGACACATAATAGTAAAGCTCCCAAGAATCCAGGACAAGGAAAAAATAATGAAGCTGACAAGAGGGAAGAAACAGATAACATTCAAAGGAAAACCAATCAGGCTGACATCAGACTTCTCTGAAGAAACACTACGGGCAAGGAGAGAGTGGAGGGACATAGTCAACAGACTCCAAGAAAACAGATGCCAACCAAGAATACTCTATCCCGCAAAGCTCTCTTTCCTCCATGAAGAAAGAATATGGACCTTCCCAGACAAAGAGAAACTCCGGAATTTCATTGCGACTAAACCCCACTCCAAAAATACTACAAGGAATCCTAAAGCCAGAACCTCAGAGGGACGAATAACAACGAAAGAAGACCAAAAAAAAAAAAAAGTTATTAAAAGAATAAATAAATAAAATCAAAGGAAAGACAAACATAATGGCAAATACAGATGCTAACATATCAATATTAACTCTAAATGTAAATGGACTAAACTCTTCAATAAAAAGACACAGAGTTGCAGGCTGGATTAAGAAACAAAACCCAACCTTTTGCTGTCTCCAGGAAACACATTTAGCTACAAAAGATAAAATAGGCTCAAAGTCAAAGGATGGAAACAATCCTACAAGCAAATGGGCCAAAAAAGAAAGCAGGAACAGCTATACTTATATCAGATAAAACAGACTTCAAACTCAAAAAATAAAAAGAGACCCCAATGGTCACTACATTATGATTAAGGGGACAATACTTCAAGAAGAAATAACACTCATTAACATATACTCACCAAACGAAAGAGCACCAAAATATATCAGACAACTGTTGTCCTCTCTGAAAACAGACATCAGAAAAACACATATGTAGTGGGAGACTTCAACACACCACTATCAACAATGGATAGATCAACAAGACAAAAAATAAGTAAAGAAACTAAAGCTCTAAATAAGGACCTAGAGCATTTGGGCTTAACAGACATCTATAGAACACTAAACCCCAAAAAAACGGAGTACACATTTTTCTCAAGCGCACACGGATCATTCTCCAGGATCGATCACATACTGGGGCACAAGACAAACATCAACAGATACACCAAGATTGAAATCATACCAACCATCTTTTCTGACCACGAAGGCATCAAACTAGAAATAAATCATAAAAAGAAGGCAAGGAACTATCCTACCTCATGGAGATTAAAAGCCACACTACTGGAAGACCACTGGACTAACGAGGAGATCAAAGAAGAAATTAAAAAATTCTTTGAATTGAATGACAAGGAGGACACCAATATCCTAAATGTATGGGATGCAGCAAAAGCAGTAATAAGAGGAAAATATATAGCAATAGAAGCTCACATCAAGAAACAAGAAAGAACTCAAAGAAACAACCTAATCTCGAAGCTCAAAGATCTAGAAAAAGAACAACAAAAAACCCCAGAACCAGTAGAAGAAAGAAATAATAAAAACCAAAGCAGAAATAAATGAAATTGAAACTAAAAAAACAATCCAAAAGATCAATGAAACCAAGAGCTGGTTCTTTGAAAAAATAAATAAAATAGACAAACCCCTAGCCAGGCTCACAAAGGAAAAAAGGGAGAAAGCACAAATACACAGAATCATAAATGAAAGAGGAGAAATCACAACGGACACAGCAGAAATCAAAAGAATAATCAGTAACTACTATGAACAGTTATATGGAAACAAGTTCAACAATCTAGAGGAGATGGACAAATTCCTACAACTCTACAATCACCCAAAGCTAGATAAAGAAGAAATAGAACACCTAAACAGACCAATTACA